AGTCGGACGCTTAACCGACTGAGCCACCCAGGCACCCCTCAGCTTTGATTCTAAAGATGTGTAAAATCAAGATCCCCAGATATCCCACCTAGATATGCCTGACATCTGAGGAAGGAGGAATGTGAAATAAGTGAGCGCGTTTGTTTTGATATTTCATCCATAACAATACTTGTTAATTTATATTCCCATAAAGGTGGATATAGTGAGCCTTTTCGTTTTTCTTTTTAATCTTCTCAACTGAAAATCCAAAAAGAAGCTTAAATGAAAGCCATAAAATTGAGCCTTAAACGCCATTTGTACCACAACTCACTGAATTTGAGAAATCTAGCTTGAATGAGTCTAAAAGGGCTCATAAGTAAGACCATTATTCATCCACTTTACTCCTTTATTATAGGGTGTGTGTGTGTGTGTGTGTGTGTGTGTGTGTGTTTCCTAATCTTACTGTTAAGTTCTAGAAGGCAATATGAGCGCGTCAAAGTGCTTGTGCAAAATCCTTCCCCTTAAGTGATTGCTACTTGTTTTGCCCCTGGCACTGAGGATATCGACATGTATTGAGTTCCCTGTTTTTCTTCTTCACAGCTGCGCTGACTTTCAAGTGCCTGGGAGACCAGTGGCCTGTGTACTGCCGAGTGATACGTGAGAAGAACCTATGTCAGGACATGCGCTGGTATCAGCGCTGCTGTGAGACGTGCAGGGACTTCTATGCCCAAAAACTGCAGCAGAAGAGTTGACCTCTAGCAGGCTGGCTGGCTCACAGCTCTTTGCAATTACATTATTTATAAACACACACACTAGCATGTTTCTCAGACCAAATATTATCAGATTATGTATAATTTAATCAGATTAATTTATTTTGGTGCCCGCCAAACATCCAATATGGTGTTTGTTTTGGTCATACAAACATTTTGATTTATACTATATGGCTTCATAAATAATTTTATATGAATAAGTTGGATCCAGTTTCCAGAATGAAAATAAAAAGGGAAAAAGAAAAAAAAAAAAGATCATTAGGCTCTAAAAAAAAAATTTTTTTTTAAGTTAGGGCTGTCTCTAAGGTGCTATTCTCTCCCTGCCGATACCATTGAGTTATCCAGAATGTATACTAACTTAGTGTAATAGTTTAGTTATATAAGGAGAGAAGTCATTTTTGTTTTCTTGGTTTCCTGATGCAGAATTAGCCCATTTTCTGTCACCTACAGGAGATGTGGAAACATAACAAACCTCAGAGTGTTGAACAGGTTTTTAGAGAATGTATTATGAATTTGGTTCGGATTTAGAGATATCCATAGGAAAAATTCTACTGTAATTATAACCTTATTTTAATAATGGAAAGGAAAAGTCAAAATAGAGACTTTGATCATGTTCATGAACATGTACTTGAACACAAGTAGTGTAACAATGAAACACTGTAATGATTTACACTGAATCACCATTGCACTGTTGATATAGTGTAGAGAAACCATTATAGAAATGGTAACATCCTACAAAAATATGTATTATTTTAACATGTTGTCATTAGATTTTAGCTTTTTAAAATATTTTGAACAAAGAAAGCAGCAATCCACCCGTTTCCTTGTATTTTTTTAGTAGATTTATAAAAGAGCATAGTACTTAGCCTCACGAATCATCATGAGAAAACTTACCAATTATTTTCCAGCCTTTTCCCTAGAAACAAGAAGAAACAAAATGCTTATGATACTGTGGTAGTTTCATTGTGTTTTTTCCTTTCGAAAACTAAAAGTTTTACAATTCTGTGAAACGTTAAAAAAAACAGCTTAAATGTTTTCTTGTGAGAAAATGTTGTACATGATTCACATGATTTCTTAGATTTTTTTTTTTTCAATAAAATATGTGAAGCTTCCTGTTGGGAGGCACTTCTTCACAGGTCTCTCACGTCTCTACACATCTTGGCACTGTCTGCTTTTGTTCGGGAGTATCTGGTAAGGGATGTTTGTACGGCCGTCGAAGACAGTTGCACAGCCTTGGATAAAGATGATGGAGCAAAGGGCAGACGTGCCTACCTCTCCTTATAAAGGTTTCCGGCCCTAAAACGGGGGTCCCTCTCCTGTGATACAAGTCACTGCATGTGCAGATATCACCCTGCTGTCTTTGTGTCACCCTGGGGGAGTTGGGGCTCAGGAAACTGGCACAAGAAAATGCTGACTCTGTGCTACTGCTATTGCTGTGAGTAACAAAGTCCTTTGTCTCCAACCCAGAGACAAAGAGTCTTCTCTTTGTCTTCTGTGTTCTGCCCTCAAAGTGGGCAGGCTGATACAACAGATTGGAAGTAGAGTAAAACCTCACCATCTGCACGGTTCATGACACATCCCTCATCAGTGATTTTTTACCTTCATTTTAATATGGAGGGCATTTTGATTCTAGATGTCCCCTTACTTATGTATATTCTTTCGTTTAATTGCTGAGATATAAAATTATTAACTAATATCCACACATCTTAAGTCATGAGAGTACGGGCATCGGAGAGGTAAAAAATTACATTTTAAGATGAGACGTTCTCAATCTCATCCCTTGATTCCTAAGTCTGTGAATCTAAGTAGAAATAGCACCCTGTGGGGCACCTGGGTGACTCAATTAGTTGGTTAAGCGTCCGACTTCAGCTCAGGTCATGATCTCACGGTTCGTGGGTTCAAGCCCCACGTCGGGTCTGTGCTGACAGCTCAAAGCCTGGAGCCTGCTTCAGGTTCTGTGTCTCCCTCCCTCACTGCCCCTCCCCCACTTGCACTCTGTCTCTCTCCACCTCAAAAATAAATAAGCATTTTTAAAAAATTAAAATGATGAATCAGAACATATGCAGTATCTTAGAAGACCTTCAGAATGTTTTGACCCAGTTGGTGCTAGAACTGAATACTGAGAGAGAGACAGAGACTGCATCATTCTATCAGGCCATCTGTTTCAGGGTGATGGTAATACCAGAGATTTGCATGAGCATGAGGCCTGTGCCACATTTTATTTGTTGTAACACAGGTTCCCTGAACGGAAACAAATATTGTATGGAATACCATAGCAGAGAATGAGGCACTTGGTAAATGAATGGGTGGTATTGTGGCAAAAACTTGGCAGCCTGAGAAGGCAAGTCCATGTTCAGGGTAAGTGTCTATTTCTATGAGAACAAATGACTCCTTGTTTTGTGATAGAAGCGATCTAATGTAATCCTGCAATCAAGATGGTTTGGCTGGATTGGCAAGGATTGGAAGGAGTGTGATTTTGAAACTGGTGACGAGGGAGTTCTAAGGAAAAGGTATATGGGCAGACCTTCCTGAAGAACTTCTATCCATATATTCTATTTGACCCCTCACCAAAGAGCACCCTCACCAGAGAGGTCTCAGTCATCAAGTGGATGAGATGACAAGGTCTGTGTATGTTGGCCAGTGTCTTTCCTCAGCCACCCTTTTCGTTGCCAATAGGCTCAGGAACAAGAGACATTGGTGGCAGAAATGGAGATTGTGCTTGGGTTCAGCAACATGAACATCCACTCACCAAGGCCAGTCACTGCAGAGAGCTCAACCTACCAATAGCAGAGAAGATATTTTTTCCCATGATGGTAGAATTCTTTGGGAAGACCTGCCCACCACCTTGAGTGCAGTATGCTTACATCAGTTCACTTGTGTCACAACACAGGCAGCGACTTGTTCTCACAGAAAGAGCTACTTGCCCTGAATGTGCATTTGCCCTTCCCAGCCTCCAAAGTTTCTGCCAAAATTTCTTCTATGAACCTACCAAATGTTTCATTCACTATTGTGGCATTCCATACAATATTGTTGTTGTGCAGAGAACTCATAGTACGGCAAATCAAACATAGCAGTGGGCTCATGCTCATGTAAATCTCTGGTATTACCATGTTCCCCATTACCCTCAAGCACGTGGCCTAACAAAATGATACAGTGTCTTTTTTTTTCTTATTATTCAATTCTGGCACCAGTATTGGGGGCCAGGGGCTTACCATTTTTGCATCCTTCAAATCCTTAATGATAGAAGTAATGGTGAAATCCCTCCAAGCATGCAATATTGGTTTTATTTCCAATTTCGGTACGTAGAGGCAATTCTAGGGGCTCCCATTGCCATTATTATCATAAAAACCCTCATTCAACGTATCATGGAACCAACAAGGTAAGCAGGGCTTCTGCCAGTTTCTGAGTATTGCTTTTCTAAATATGCTTCCCAGAATTAGGAAAATAACTGTGGTGTGGTTGTAGAGGCTTTGGGATTTTTATGAGAGAGACTTAAGCCAGAACTTGATTAAATTATCTGATTTCCATAAGCTCTTGCTCTGTGGGGCTATAATAGGAACTTAGGGTCACCAGGAATAGTATCAATTGACAATAATTTTCAAAAAGTCTGATAATTTCCCTTCTCCAGTACATTGTGCCCATCAGAGAAAACCTGAAGGTAACTTACAGTATAATATTGGACAGTATAGCAGGATCCTTCCTTTTTTAAAATGATCCAGTCTCCTCTTCACTGAAGGCATTCTCAATGAACCGATTCTTATGTGGAAATTGATTAGGGGAGTGCAATTTCCTGATGTGGTTATCCAAATCAGACCTCTTCCCACAAAGTCTAGAGATTTAATGCTCACACAAATCAAATAAGACTTTAGTAGAATGCCCATCTATTTCAGTCCTAGGGACTCCATGATCAATTAGCCAAGATCTTTGCTGGTCAAACCATTCCCTTTACCCCTTTGATTCTGCTACCCTTCATGGTAACCATTCCCATCTGGTCTCTGACAGTGAAATGCAGCCCTTTGGTTCCTGCCCTTATGGAATTGTATCATCATTAAATTTAAGAGGTCCAGTTCTGTGGCAGCACTTCCCAATGTTATTTAAGGGCTTCAGAAAATAGGCTTTACCAAGTTCTTTAAGGATTCCAGTACAGCCTTCGCTGATGTGAAGGGAGTTCAAAGCCTTGGTCAAGGGAATGCCCTCTGGAGCCTTTCAGGGGATGAATTCAGCAGGTAGATGAGCATCTATCATATTAAAACCATCTCCCTACATGTCTGTATACTTTCCTGCATACTACTACATTATAACAAGGAAGTTTTGGCATCTCAATTTTATTCATTGTGGACCACCAGTGGGTCCAATTTTCAGGCCCTTTGTTGGAGTCACTCCCAATCACATGAAGTAACACTTTGAATCCAGAATCTCCACTTAGTGAACTCATATCAAAAACATGTAGGCTAATAAAACATTATATTCCTTCCGCCCTAATATAAAGCCATTAAGAATTGTCCCTATACATCTACCTTGGGTTTCAGTTAGCATGAATTAGTGAAATCTTGCAATTCCTTTGGCATGTGTAAAACCTCACATGTTATACCCCAGGGTGGTCCCCTTGGATCTTCTAGGACTTGACTCTGAATAGGAGTTTCGATGGTGGAGCATCAGCAGTACAGGTAAAAAGGTTTTATGTGAAGATAGTCATGGAAGCTTTCTGGTTCCCAACTTAGACCTTGAACTGTGAATTTAAAACCTAGGTTTATCATTCGCCAGATTTGAATTCACACAACTGCAGAAGCCCTGGCGAAGTGAAGAAGAGTTGAAGAATCAGAGGGGTCACCAACTAGTCTGAGCTGCCAGGTAAGTATGACTAGGGCAGGGTAATTTGTTAAGAGGTCTTTGGGATGCTGTCGCCTCTGTGAAGCTACCTCCTTTGTAGGTACACAAACACCTGGTAGTAGATCTGAGTTTGCTGTTGGTCAACAGGACTAACATTTGGAGAGAAGAAATGGACGTGGAGCTCAAGAGAGCAACGGCTTGGAACCCGCCAAGCACCTGTTTGCAAAAAGCCTTTCAGATTAATGGGTGCTGTTTCCACTTTCCTGTCTATATCTCACTGAAGTTCCTCTTTTGGCTAGTTCTAACCCAGAACCACACAAATAAAGAGATTCTGGGAAATGTAGTTTGTCTTTTAACTAAAGATGGCTGTGTGACTTTAACTTTCTTTCCTTTCCTTTTTTTTTTTTTTTTCAGTTTGTATCAGAGACAACTGAAATAAAAATCTATGTTCTTAGCCACTCAAAATAACAATGAACCCTTTTTAAGCACTTCATATGCACCAAGCATTCTGTTAACTACTTTACCTATAAAATCTCACAGCAACCTTGTAAGGTACTTGTGTTATCTTCACATTATAGCTGAGGAATCAGGCTTAGAGAGATTCAGTATCCTACCCAGGAACACAACTTAGTTTGATGCCACTCTGACTCCAAATTCTGTGCATTCAGTAACCCTGATTGCCTCTGTTTACCAATTTTGAGACTGTTTTATAATAGACACAAAAGGGTTTATAAGCCAGTCACAGGCTTTCTTTGTAATCAAAACTATTCAAGTGATTTCCAAACTCTCCAATAATTTGATGAACCACAACTGCTCATCTGGACATTGTACAGGCTTTTCAGCTGGAAATACTTTCAAATATTTCAGTGGGTTATTGGTACAACCTAGAGAGGGAGGGAAGGAGAAAGGGAGGGAGAAAAGAAGGGAAAACAGGAGAGAGAATAAGGAGAAGAAAATAAGATTCATTCACATATAGACAGTTTTGTCTTGTGAGCCATACTTAATCCTATTTTTACAATTCTCACGGTTCAAAAAAAAAAAAAAAACAACAACCGTAATTCTGGGTCCAAATCCAAGAGGAAATGATACTTTTATAAAAATTGGTTACAAAGAAAAAGACCAAAAGATTACCTGCATGCTAAGTGTTGAGACGCCCCAGATGTGCACATTTCCACCAGATTTCCCTCCAGTAAAACTCTTTATATTTATTTATAACCATTGTCACTCTAGATGGAAGTTCCTAATGACGATAAAGAAATAAAAACCCTGAGCCAAAATTCGTCCAGTTACTTTTGGGTAAACTTTTTGAAGAGTTAAAAGGAAAACAATAAAATGGGTATTATGTGATCAAATAAATTTGGAAAATGCTAGACTTATCAAAGCAGGACTTCTCAGAGCCTTCAGTGTGAGTCTGTGCATCGTAAACTACCAGAAGAGAATATAGAGTATCATAAACATTTTTGGCAACGGAATCCTTTTTTTTAATGAGCTTGGAAAACAGCACTAAGCCATTTTTTAAATCAAATGTAATTGGATTATCTATTTCCAACCAGAGGAGAGCCCTTTCTAGTGCTTTTGAAGAGACAAGATCCATCGTTATTTATGGAGCAAAGGACTTCATGAGGGTCTTCAGGACATGACTCATGGGGAAGGAAGCATCCGAAAGGGCTGCTCTTTGGTAACGTATCATCTAGTATAAGGCTCATAAAAGAAAAGCATGAAATACATCATCAGACCAAAGATAGTAAGATGAGACTTCAAACAAATCACTCCAAGATTTCAAAGGAGGGAACAATCGTACCTACTTGGCAAAATACATAAATGTTTTGTGAAAGGCGAGTTATCAGCAGTAGCCCGTGAAGGATGATTCGGAGGTGGTCAACAGCCAGTTGGGAAGAAATGTTTCCAGGCAGAAGGACTGGCATTACCACAGGCACAAGTTGGGGTGGGGTGGAGTGGAAGTGGGGGCCAGGGGTGGGGAGGGGATGGCCAGTAACGATTTTCTGATCGTTAGTCATGTCGGTTACCTACAGTGAGAAATAAGAACCGATAGTTTGGGGGTGGGGGTGGACAAAGAATGGGAAAAGAGGGAGAGTCTAAAACTCAACTTGTAAACAGGAGGAGACAGTATACAAGCCTCTGGGCATCTAGAGCATGGCGGAGGGATCTAAGGGAAGGATGCCTAAGGAAAACTGAAGGCTCATTTCACCTACCTCATACTTTGGCCAAAGAAAAGGCCTAATCAAATATATTTGGACCTAGATTCTCTGTCTCTACTTGCCAATATAAAGAGCCAAAGAGAAGTAAGGTTCTTCTTGAAGACGTGTGTTATTCCCTGAAGAATCTTTTAGGAAAAGCAAACAGCCTGAGAAATATTTATTCATTAGATGTATTCTGGCAGCAGCCAGGAAAATCCAGAATGTATCAAGCACACGCACATGCACATAATACACTTGATTCTTGAAACACTTGTGATTTAACTGTTTTGTTATTAACTGTCATTATGAAGTAGCTCTTACTTTCTCCAGTAAATATATTGTAAAAACTACCCAAGTTTATTTCGAATATTGCAAGACAGTGGAAGAGTCTGGGTCCAAAACATTCTTACAGAAAATGTTGATGGTTCAAACCAGTTTTACAGCTATAAGTAGGACAGGATTTTTAAACTCCCTCATGTTTATTGCTATAAAGAAGGTAAGTACTCTCTAGTGTCTTGCTCAATTTGAGAACATCCTGGCTGCTGGTTCTTATAAGCTATATGGCACTCTTCTGAAATCTGGTGCTGATACATTCCACATGTGACCCCATTTACCCCTGGAAGAGAAACCTTCCTGCTGAATCAGATGGGTTTACAGAGGTGCACACATAACAAACAACCTATGTCTTTTTAAAACTGCTGATGCATCTATCCTTTGCCTTCTCACGGTGGGAAAGTATTCCTCTTACTCTAGATGGAAATCCATACTTTCCCAATGAGAAGCATGGGTTGCCTGAGGCAGAGTGACTTGAAATGTGAGAGCTTATGTCCATTAAAGTCATCATTACTTCCTGGCTTAATACAGGGTCTTCAGCCTCACTCCCACCTTGGCTCCCTGAACGGCAGATGGGTTCACTTAGGACAGCACATCATCCAAACCCAGCAGCCATGTTCCCCTTTGGTTCCCAATGTGCTGTGTGAACACCAAAGCACACCGAAGGAGTTTATACAGCCAGGAACAGAGTCAACGGGACCTTGGATAGCATATGGGTCAAGGCAGTAGATTAGGGTGCTGAATTCCTGTAGCAAACTATAACAGCAAAATTCTTGCCATTTCTCAGTTCGGACCAAAGCTGACAGTGGTCAGGTTTCATGTGAGCTTGAGACTCTGGGAGTCAAAACCGGAGGAGAAACAAGATCCTGCATATCATATGGGAGACTGCATCGGCGGGGCCAAATCAGCTGTGTTAGCTCAGCAATGTTCAGAGAGAAAAATTAAGAAATCTCTTCCTTACAGGTGATATCTCATGTGCTCCAGTTATGGACTGTGACACTGAAATTCTGGCAGCCTTTATCCAAAGACTAGTTCCTCTTAAACCGTTATGTCTGACCCTGTATGGAGAGACATTAAGCACTATATATCTAATTTTGGCATTTTGTGTAATTTAATGAGTACAACCCCATCTGTCCCTTTTAAGCCTCCTAAATGTGTGTGTGTGCATGCATGTGTGTGTGTGTGTGTGTGTGTGTGTGCGTGTGTTGGCGTGCTGTGTGTGAAAGGCAAGGCAGGGCGCTGCGTTGTCTATGTGCGTCAGCATATCATTTCGAGAACAGCTCCCCCGTGTAGCTGAGAGACCTGGTTTCAGATGCCAACCGGAGCATCCTCAGGCTCATTAATAATGGACGAGTCTGACAGAAGCAGCCTCACTTACCTTTGTTTTCCACCGTAGACGAGGGGAGACATGGATCTCTCTGTTTTGCCAAATAACAACCATCCTGACAAATTCCTGCAGCTCGATGTGAAGTCTTTCATGAGGAACTCAGCTCTTCTTCAGGCCAGCCTGGTGAGGTTTCCAGGTGGGAATTACCCTGCCGCCCAGCACTGGCAAAACCTCGTGTACTCACAGGTAAAGTCCAGGACAGCATAAAGCCCCCAGGCGAGGATCAGTTCTTTCTCACTACCTATTATTTCCTTATTTGTGCAGGGAGGGTGGGGGGAAGGCTGTAGGGAACACGGCACAAGGTGGCTGCCCTTGCAATATAAAAAAGGTCTTTCTCTCTTCCTTAACGTAAGGAAACTCTGATCACTTTATAAAATATGTGAATTCCTGCAAACATTCACTTCCCGCCAAGCACTAGCTTTGCAGCCCGTCCTCATTTTATTGCCTAGTTTTCATTTTACTCCTTTCCTTCAGAATTTTTCAAACCACTTGTTACTTTTGCAAATAAGACTCTGGGGGGGAGATCTACCTCTCTCTTCTGGTGCATTCTAAGCCCAAAGCAGCAGAAGCTTAAAAAGGGACTCAAACACAGCCTCTGAGACCACTGGGGAACTTGCTCTTGCCTTATTTAGGCTGGCTCCCTTTCATTTCTTGCAGAGAAGAGTCAGCATAACAATGGAAACCCAATGATTGAAGGAAAACAAAATAGAGGGAACTCTTCCCTTTTATTTTAGATACTCTTATTTTCTGCAGGTATCCATGTGGACAAGACATAACAATCAGACCTTCAAACCCAGTGCACACTTTATTTTTTCGCTTTCTTCTTTTGCACCTTCCTTCTTTTTGCTGACCAAAAGAGAGGAATAAAACTGTGATGAGTTCCATGTGCTGGAATAAACATAAAGGCCCTGACTGTTGGAAGGCTCAAGAAACAGGAATAATCTTTGTTTTAAGACGTGAGGGCTAATGGGGTTAAGGGTTAGTCAATTTAGAAACAGGAAGAAGCATTTCATTTCATAACAGATGTGACTGACCTACAAACCCCTGCAAGTCATTAAGTCCTTTGGAGTGGTTCAAATTCCCTGAACAGAAATTTGTTTTCTTTTAAGAAACAGTTGCTACTCATGAGTCCTGGTGTAAAGTGACTCCTTTGTGGTGTGTTTGTGGGCTCCTCGGGACCTTTATCATGAGATCATTCAAAATCAAGTACACTCAAATGATTATGTAAGTGTTTCCTCCACCTATAAGGGTTTTAATTTATTTCCATCATAAGGCAGCCTGTTATGACAACTGACTTTTTAAAAAATTTTGCATCCTTCCCTTTTGGAATCCCCAAAACTCTTCCCCCCACCCATACACACCTTTTTGGTTATTGTTTTCGTGTTTTAAGTTAAACACAATAAATTCCTCCTCATTGTTTATGCCACGGAATAAAATGACTCAAAAATCAGTTCAGAAAACCTTGGCCCTCCCATGCTATGAAGTTTAGTAGAAGAAAACATATCCAATAAATTCCTTTGAGGTTGGAACGTATCAATCTAACATCTTTTGTTTGGTACTGTAGTTGACCTATTTCCTTCACGGGAATCTTCACAGTTTAAAGCTCTGTTGAATGTTGTTCCTAAACCTGAATGAAATGCATACAATTTTTAAGGGGCATCTTTTTCAATAGGTAGGCTCTGATGAGTTGAAGCGGTTATTTAACAAAAAAACAAGGAGGTAAAAATCTGCTATGAATGTCTTTAGATATGTTATTGGTAATTTTTTAATTGTTTCTTTAAGTTTATCTATTTATTCTTGAGAGAGAGACAGAGAGAGTGAGCAGGGGAGGGGCAGAGAGAGAGGAAGAGAGAGGAAAGCAGGCTCTGCACTGTCAGCGTGGAGCCTGATGTGGGGCTCGAACTCACAAACTGTGAGATCATGACCAGAGCAGAAACCAAGAGGCAGACACCTAACCAACAGAGCCACCAAGGCACCCCTGTTATTGGTAATTTTAAACTGCACATGAACTCGATTTAATTATCCTTTTACCCTAAAATAACGTTAAATTGACAGAATAAAGGCTAATTTACTGTTGAAATAATGGGGTGAGGGGAAATAAATCTTACAAATTCAGTTAGCTGGGTAGCCATGACACAAATTAGGACTAACAATTATTTGTATTTACTACTTTAATTTGCAATATGTGAATAAGAAGTTCTTCTCTCATTAGCTGTATTTTAAAAAATCCAGGAATGATATATTTGTGGGATAAAATAAATACCTAAAATAAAGGACTTACTAAAGTTTTAAGTAGCTGTAGAGATACCTGGAAGAAGGCACAAAGTGTATCAGGTGCATTTGAGGCATTAAGGGTGCATAAGGTGGCCCTGTCAGAAGTTCTTAATTAAAAACCCTCAGTCTGCTGGGGATGCATTAAACCAACAGGAAGAGCATCGAATAAAGAGGGTGGAAACCTGGTTTCTTGTCTCACATCCACAGTAAGCCACTTTAAGAGACATCTATTGTGGCTCTTACTTGGTTCATGCCTCAATATTTTCACTTGAAAAACTACAATAATATTAATTTTACATATTTGTTTTAAAATGAGAACAAGTAAAATAACATGAGGTAAAACAATTGAGAGGAAATATTTCCCATAAAAGTTTAAGAAATGTGTGTTGTTGTTGTTGTTAGACAGCAGTCTGTTGTGTGTGTTGAAATTATCCTTTCATTAGACATTGCAAAACAGTAGATAATACTACTTGCATTTTTTTATTTATAGTGTGGATGGAGGGGTGTATGTGCTTGTGTGTAGACGGTGGTGTTAGGGAATATAGTCAATACATCTGTGAATCCATAACTCAAGCAGTAGATTTTTTACTCACACGAAATCTACATAGGCTTCAGAGTTGTGTCAGCTTACTGCTGGGTCTCACACCACCCAGGTGCATGGTGTTTGGGATTCAGACTACATCACAAAATGTCAAAGGACTTAACCTAGCAACAATTGCCTTCAAAATTAGTGGTAATTCAGCAGTTAAAACACAGATCTCATAATCCCGAATGTGAAGTTGAATTCATAACTATATGCAGCATATTCTTATCCATCTCAAATCTTTTCTATAAAAATTCACATAACATTTTCAGGGGAAATTCTTTAGGCCATAATTACACATGAAAGCAATTGTGGGCATATAGAAAAGCAAGCACTCGTTCTCACGCATGCCTATAGTCCAGGACGCTGTGAATTCCATGCCAGGCAAATACACAGGTCATCCATGTTTGCAGGGAGAGAGTATGAGCATATATTTCTTGATTCCACTATATTTACTCCTTCTTAAATTCTTTCAGTAGAGAAGCAAAGAAGCTTCACAATAAATTTCATCTCAGTGCAATGAACAAATGTTCACCAAAATCTAATGTTTCTGGTTGTTAAAATAATTCGGGGCATGTATCTGATGAAGGCATGTGGAATTGTATTCTAAATATTTCTGCCAATCGCTTTATAGAACGAGGTAATGAAAGGAAAAGGGTGATTTTTTTTTTAGTTTAAATGCTAAAATATGTTTGGTTTCAGATAATGTAGTGCCCCCCCTTTTTTGATTAGCAGTCAGACTTCAGAGTCATTTCAGACTAATCTCTTTGTTTTATCTTTTCCTGGCTTCCATCACATCTTTTTCAGAACCCAAGAGCATTCCATGCTAAACTTGTGAGCTGGAGCAAAAGACCAAGGATAAGAGGTTGCTCTTCCCTTGATTTCTAGGCAGTGTCATTTCCTGGGTTTATTTCCTAGTCATTTTCCCCGCTTTTTGTTACAGTCTTAAGAGCTATCTTTTCCCCTATCTTCTAATGTCTCTTCTATCTCAGTTTTTTGTTTTGTTTTGTTTTGCTTGTTTGCATACTATAATTGTACTTCTTAATGATCTGTCTCTGGACAGGTCCCTGAAATCTGTTTTGCCTTCTCTAAAAATGTCTCTATTCCTAGTCCTCCAATTAGCGTTCTGAAAAGAATGCCCTGCATATGCATTAGACTCCCATTTTTAAGCATATATTTGGGGAAGAGCCTTTGAGGCTCTTAAATTATTATCTAGGAAGTAGATTGACAGGCACCGCTCAGTTGTTCAGGGATTTACTTGCAAATATCAGAACATGATTTATCAAGTTATGCTAAATTTATGCAGCTCACAAAATCTCCAGTGGGGTCTGGAATTTAGCCTTGGATGGTATGCTGCCAGAAACAACACCTAAGCTGTCTCATCATACTGCTCTCAGATCAGACCCAAATGCCTCTTGCACTAAAGCTTTTATTAAGGACGCCCTGAGTATTACAATAGCATGTGTGGGAGGTTAGGTGGAGGAGAAGGCAGGAAACAAGTTTCAAGAAAGGCCTGTGTCAGACAACAAAGGTTTGGTAATTGTCTGAGATTTTAAATTTTATCCTGAAAATTTTGAGGGGTTGGTGAAAACTTATTCTAGCAATTTGGGAAACAGAATTACTGGGGTCACTGGGGAGCTGATTTTGTTTGTATACCCACAAGTAATAGATAAACAAAATGCCTTGTTTGCAAGGCATTTATGATTATGAAAGGGACTTCGTTGTATGTACAGATTAAATTGGGGAAAAATGGAACTCTTTATAATCTTGATTCTCCCAATCCATAAACATGGTATATCTTTTTATTTATTCAGTTCTTCATATGGCCCTTCAATGATATCTTATAATTCTCCACATAGAAGTTTTCATAAAGTTTGTTAGGTGTATATCTAAATATTTATAGCACCATTGCTTTTAGACTAGAACCTTTTAAATCATGTTTCATAATAAAGTGTTACTCATGCATGCCATTGATTTTTATAGATTATGTAATCGTTATATATTAATCTTAAATCCAGGAATAGTGTTAAATCTTTTATTTTGACTGTAAACATCCCTACAGCTAATCATGCTATACGCTATTTTGTTTTATTTAAAACCCTATTTCTTTTATTTATTTTTCTGTTCTTATTGTATTGCTTAGGGCTTCCACTGAAATAATATGTGAATGTTTGTGATTACTGACATCCTCGTATTAATTCTGAAACTAAAACAAATGTTTCTAATATTGTAGCCATTTGGTAAACTATGCCCTGGAAGTTTTATGTAGATTCTCTTAATTAATTTTTAAAGATCACCTACTATTCCCAGGTGGTTAGGAAAGTTTGCT